ACACACATGGTTCAGCAGGTACTATCCATGGGACATCCATTTCCACAACAGCCCTCTAAGCGCCCCCAACAACTACACCTTTGACTGGAACCAACTATCCCTATTATCCCCCACCAGGACAAACCAATATGTAGGCAGAGTCATCGAACCTTTCGGCATCCCTGGGCCACACTGGAAGAAGAAGAGTTGTCTTGGGCCACACATTAAATCCACAAACACTAATGAAAACTGATGAATAAAAAAGCCTTAAAAAAGCCCTGGCTGGAGTGGCCCAGTGGATTGAGCGTGGACTGCTAACCAAGGGGTCGCCAATTCGATTCCCAGTCAGGGCACATGCCTGGGTTGCAGGCCAGGTCCCCAGTGGGAGCCATGTGAGAGGCAACCACACACTGATGTTTCCCTCCCTTTCTTCCTCCCTTCCTTCCCCTCTCTCTAAAAATAAATAAATAAAGCCTTTTTAAAAAGGCTTTAAAAAGTGTTTTAAATTTATGATTTTATGATTTTGTGTTGGGCTGCATTCATAGCCATCCTGGGCCACATGTGGTCCGTGGACTGAGGGTTGGACACCCTGGAAGGCAAATTTTTTTTGCTTAGATATGAAATCAATTTTAGCACTGGCCCTCATGAGGCCACAATGTACCAAAAGTACTATGCCAAACATTCATAACTTGTGTAAAAATTCCTCATCCCCATATTGGCCACCTCAAGGTGAAAATATAACTCCCTACATATTAACTAGCTCTACTCTCCTAATATTAAACATAAAAACCACATGGGAAATATAGAAATTCAAACAGAAGTAACATACATAAATCATAAACAAAAAACTATTTGTGGGACAGCATGGGTGACAAATGGTCAAGTGTGTAAATTTTGGAATGAGGCAGACAAAAGTTTGAAGGCCAGTCAATTTTCTCCTTTTTCTGCTTCAGCTTCATTTCCTTGGGTGTCCCATGTCCATAATGTCAAGTTGTCTCTCAGTAACTGCATTATCAGTGTGCTTTGTATGAGTCTTCACTTAATGTATCAAGTTTGGCAACAGCTTTATCGAAAGCTGTCTTTGCAAAATAGCAGGCTCTCTCCTGGGAGTTCAGAATCTCATAATAGAACACAGAGAAGTTAATGGCCAGACTTGATCTGATAGGATGTGTTGGTTGCATTTCCTTTTGCTGATTTCAAAAGCTTCTTGGTATGCTTGTTGTGACTGATCTTCAATCCCTTTCTTGTCATCCTCAACATCAACCTCAGCCATGTAATGGTAGTAGTCTCCTAGACTTTGCTCTCTGCTTGTGAAGCATTAGGGATGAAGAACTTTTCCAAGAGAGACAGTACATCATTACAGATATCTCTTAGCTTGGTCTCAATTTTCTCTCTGTATTCTCAAGTCACCCGCTGTTTTTTTCTTAGTACCTTCTGTCTTTTGCTCAATATTCAAGACAACTCTCCAAGATATGGGCTCCTACAACACTCTTATAAGCAACTGAGAGAAGATTCCTCTCATCATTGGATAATTCTGCTCCTTGCTCAGTTACTATCTTCATGCAGGCTGCCATGTCATCATATTGCTCAGCCTGCTCGACCAGCTTGGCCTTCTGCACCAGTTCATTTTTATCCATGACTGGATGTTCTGCGTCCAAAGTGTGTCCAAAGTGGGTGGCGGTAGATCGACAGGGGCTCGTTAGTCTCTGGGCAGTGAGGCTGAGACTCTTCAATTTGACACTTTAATCAATATATCATATTCTTTGCTTTGACTCTTATAACAAGTTTTTTTTTTAAGTTTTATTTATTTTTAGAGGAGGAGGAAGAAAGAGAGGGAAAGAAACATCACTGTGTGGTTACCTCTCACATGCTCCCTGTTGGGGAGCTGGCCCACAACCCAGGCACATATCCTGACTCGGAATCAAACTAACTGGCCACACTTTGGTTCGCAGGCCAGCACTCAGTCCACTGAGCAACACCAGGCAGGGCTCTCTTGTAACAAGTGTTGACTGAAAGTCTATTTTATCTGACAGTATAGCAACATGAGCTCTTTTTTGGTTACTATTTGCATGGAATCTCATTACCCAACCTTTCATTTTCAACCTGTGTGTGCCTTTGGACCTAAAATGATTGATTGTGTTGTAGGCCCTGGCCAGGTAGCTCAGTTGGTTGGAGCATCAATCCAACATGCCAAGGTTGAGGGTTTGACCTATAGTCAGGACACATATGGGAACTACCCAGTGAGTATATAAGAGAGTAGAACAATGAATCAATGTTTTTTTCTCTCTCTCCCTTCCTCTCTCTAAAAAATCAATAAATAAAATTTTAAATTTAAATAAAAGGATTGTCTCATATACAACATGTAGTTGGATCCCATGTTTTTAATCTATTCTGCCAATCTCTGACTTTTAATTGGAGTTCTTAATCCATGTATATTAAAATTATTCACCAATAAAGATGGACTTGCTTCTACTATTATTCTGTTTTCTGTCTTGACATATCTTTGTATTTTATATCTATGTCATATATTTTTAAAATTTTGATTTACTTACTTTTAGAAAGAGGGGAGGTAAGGAGAAAGAGGAGGAAAGAAACAGTGTGTGAGAGACACATAAATTGGTTGCCTCTCACACACAGCCAACTGGAGACCCAGCCCGCAGCCCAGGCTTGTGCCCTGACTGGGAAACAAACCTGCAACCAACCAGCATTCAATCCACTGAGCCGTACCAGCCAAGGCCATTTTTGTTTCTTATGTCCTCCTTTTGTGTTTCATTTTTTATTAGTGTAGTGTATTGATTCTCTTCTCATTTCCTGTTCTGTATATTTTTTAGTTATTTTCCTAGTGGCTTTCCTGGGAATTACAAATTAACAACTTAAACTTATAACAATCTATTTTGAATTAATATCAACTTAGCTTCAAGAGTCAACAAAAACTCTGTTTCTATACAGCCTTATTCTTCCCCTTTAATTTGTTATTGTCACAATTTACCATTTTATATGTTGTGTGACCATTAACAGAGATTTATAATTATTATTATGTGGGCAGAGCCCCCAACTCAGCTGCCACAGATGAGAATAAGTCTACCAAGACATGATCTGCTTGGGGAGGAAAGGTGGCTGATCTCTCAAAGGAGAAGGACCAGGACCCTGTTCCTCAATGGGCTTTTATTGGGTTCAATTTGCACTGGAATACAGGTAAAGCTCATCAATCACTGTCAGGCAGTAAGGATCAAACAATAGATAACATTCGAAGAACTATGAGGGTTTATTCTGAGTCAGGGTCAGTTAGCTAAAGGGCTATAAAACTTTGGGAAACAAACTCATTTCATGCTTTGACCCTTATCAGAAAAATGAGGGCATTCTTAGCAAAGCAGGTTTCACAGGATTTTATCCATTCTTTCTCAGGCCTGATCGCCCAGGGAACCTGCCCTTTCCAGCACAGAGCTACACCCACCTCCAGCATTGTTTCAGGCTTAAGTCGGCAGGAGAAGTAAGGCAGCCAAGAGATTAAGAGACTTCTTACAGACAGAATGAGGACTCAGGCTATGACAAAGCTGAGGGATGAGGGTCCACCACCTTCTTTTTCTATAGCCCCCCAAGTCCTTCCCTAAGGGCTCCTTCGTGTCCATGTCTGTCTTAGGTCGTCCCTCCCTTGAGGAATCTTACCTGTCATTGGCTATTCAGTCATCCACCTAGGGCCAAGGGTCAGAGGCAGCAACCCTACCAGGGAGATAAACTTTGTCTCCTTAGTGGCTTATGGTCTCAAGGTCACTCACTCAGCCTTAGCCATGGGGGAGGATAGCTTCTGAAACCAGCCAGGGCAGTTCCCAACATTATTATACATTTGTCTTTCTAATTATATAGGAAAAAATAAGTTCTAAACCAAAACCATAATAATACTGGCTTCTGTATGTGTCTGTGTAGTTACCTGTACCAGTGTTCTTTATTCCTTCTGGTGGGTTTTAATTACTGGTTAGTGTCCTTTCATTTCAGCCTGAAGGGCTCCCTGTCCCCTTCCTCAGAGGGCAGGTCTGCTAGTGGTGAGCCCTCTCAGCATTTGCTTATCTGGAAATTTCTTAACCTCTCCTTCATTTTTTGAAGGATAGTTTTGCCCGATATAGAATTTTTGGTTAATTGTTTTATTCTGTCCGCACTCTAAGTATGTCATCCTACTGTCTCCTGGCCTCTAGGGTGTTTGAAAGTAATTTGGCTGCTAATCTTGTTGAAGATCACTCCTACTTAATGTTTGGCTTCTCTCTTACTATGTACAATATTCTCCCTTTGTCTTTTGCCATTTTGATGAGTATGCATCTCAGTGTGGATCTCCTTGTGTTTATCCCACCTGCAACTTGTTCAGAGTACATAGATTTTGGACTGTGTAGATTCATATCTTTCATCAAATTTAGAAAGTTTTTGGCCTGGATCCTGTAGCTATAGTATATTAAACATAAATGATTTCAGCTGCATTAGCCCCTCCCTCTATTCATGCTGAAGTTTCTCAGCATTGGCTTGGGCAAAGGCTGTCATCTGCATGCTATAGCTAGGAAAACCGAATCTCAGGGAGGTGCTGTAACAGTCTGTCCAGCCACTGAGCACTTCTGTGATATTGCTCATACCCATGATGTGCTGGGTGCTGGGCTAGAGTGGAGGACTCACCAGGAACAATAACCTGTCCTGACTGGTGTGGCTCAGTGGGTTGAGTGCCATGCCACAAACTGAAAGTACGCCACTTTCATTCCTGGTCAGGGCACGTGCCTGGGTTGTGGGCCAGGTCCCCGTTGGGGGCGTGTGAGAGGCAAATGATCAATGTTTCTCTCATACATTTTGGTTTCTCTCCCTCTTTTCCCCCTCCCTCCCCCTCTCTCTAAAAATAAAGAAATAAAATCTTTAAAAACAACAATGGCCCAGGCACTTTGGGTGCCTCAGGGGCCTCTACCCCTGCAGCCCATGTCATTCCTCCCAACCATGGTGAGGAGAGGCTCAGGATGCTCTCTCTCTTTGTCCCCTCAACTTCCATGCAGGGCTGCCACCTCCCTACACCCTCCAGGAAGTACAGGTCTCCATCATAAACAACTCTAGGTGTAACTACCTGTTCCAACAGCCCAATTTCTTCTATAGAATCGGGGATGACATGATTTGTGCTGGCTCTGAGGATGGCAGCCGTGACACCTGCAAAGTGAGTACCCCTGTCCCAGCCAGGACCTTTCTAGACCCAAGCACCACTCATCCCCTCCCAACCTTGGGCCTAAGAGTGACCCCCTTGACCAACCCACCCTTGGTGTTGATTAATGAGAAAATGATTGCAGCCCTTACTTACCCCTCCTGTAAAAGTTTCTCATTTTACATTGATTGTATCTCCTTTGATCCTCATGTGAAATCCGGTGGGTAGAGACTGTTGCCCCACTTTGCAGATACATAAACTGAGGCTTGGTCACTTACAGGTGGGGAGTAGGATTTGTACCCAGTTTGCAGAGCTCCATAGCCCTGGGACCTCTTCACTGGCTCCTCCTGCCCCTTGCCAGGCCCTGCTCATCCATTTCACTCCCCAGGGTGACTCAGGTGGACCCTTGGTCTGTGAAAAGAATGGGCTGTGGATTCAGATTGGAATCGTGAGCTGGGGAGTGGGCTGTGGCAGGCCCAACCGGCCCGGTGTCTACACCAACGTCAGTAGGTACTTCGGCTGGATCCAGAGGCTCATGGCCAACAGCACACCCAGGCCAGACCCATTCCCACTGCTGCTGCTCCTCCCTCTGCTCCGGGCTGCCCCGCTGGTGCAGCTAGACTGCACACAGCTGAGCCTGTGAGGATGCAATAATTACCACAGCACTAGACACACTCCCCCAGGGCTGTGGACACCCCAGTGGCAGGACTGCCTGCTGGATCAGTCTCTGGTGCCCTTTGGTCTTCTTTGCTAATAAACAAGTGTGCATGTTTTCATTGATTCTTTGCAGAGAGTCTTGTGGACTTGGGTAGCTTCCTGGACACCCTCATGGCCACCCATGTCCTGTCCACCCCAAAACCACTCCCAAACTCCTAAATCTTTCTCTGTTTACCAGCACTATACAGATTTTGGTTGCACACAACAGAACCCTTTCAGGATAATTCAATCAGATAATGTATGAAAGACATCAGTAGCACCAGGGGCTCTGGGGACTAAGACTGGAATGGTGGTGCTGTGGAGGGAACACCCGACACCCCAATGCTTATGTCAGGGGCCCCATCACGCAGATGCCCGGTGCCCCTGATCTTAACCACGGTCCACCAAAGGCTGATGTGGGACCAGGACAGGTATGCAGGTGGTTTATTTGGGAGGCCATACCAAGAAGCTCCAGTGGGGTGGGGACACTGGGGCAGAAGAGGAAGAACTCGATGAGGGTTGCCGATTGATGAGGTTACTGTGTGGACCAGTGGGGCACAATCCTGCTGGGGCCTTCTGAGAATCCACAGGGAACACACCTGCATCAGACTCCCATAGGACAAGGATGCTGGGGGCGGGCACTTCTCTCCTGACCCCCACAGGCTGAGGGCTTCCCTGGGGGCATGGGTGTTCCCAGTTGAAGCAGGCCCCAGTGAGGATGCCAGTGCCTAAGGAACTGCTGCAGCACCATGAGGTGGCCTGGTGGACAGGGGTACACATCAAGTGTGTCTGGCTCCTCGCTGGTGTCCCAGAACCCAGCCTTAGCGTGACCAGGGATCAGGCCGGCAGGGCAAATTCAGGGGCACCTTGGAACTGCTCAGGCAGATCTGTGCTGTCACAAGATCCCTGAGTACTGTGAGCTCAAGATGTGTGAGAAGCTGTGGTTGGTCTGGACCCCTCCCTTCGGTTCCCCACCCCACAACTCCCTGCTGTGGAGAGGAAGGTGTAGGAATCTTCAGAAAGGGGACCCTCCTGGTTCGTGCCCCATACCTGGGGCAGGTGTGTAGGGCATCCGCCTGGGCTTCGTGCCCTGGGGTAGCCCTGGGAGGCTGCAACTTTCCTTCTACCTTGTCACAGTGAGGAACCTGATGCTCAGAGAGGTGACAGGACTGCTGGTGTCACCCAGCTCACAAGGGCCGGGATCCAGAGAGCACTTGGCCAGGCCTGGAGTCTGGGCTCCCTGTGAGACTGGCCAAGTCTGCACTTCTACACAGAACAGTAGTCCTCAGGTTCCTCGCCCAGGTCAGATTTGGAGGTGAGCTTCTGGGCCTGACTGCAGGCCCCTTCCCTCATGCCCCACCCCCCACTCACTGCCCTCGCTGGGCTGGGCCCAGGCTCCTGTCCCCCTTCTCAGCACCCTGGCCCAAACCAGGCTTCTTTTGAGGACTGCAGGGTATCACTTTCTGCTACCTTGAAAGTGCTGCTCAAAAAACCTTCATTTGAGGCTGGACAGGTGAAGTTGCAGACCTTCCCTGGTCTCCTTAATTACCCTCTGGCCAGGGCCACGCCCCCTCCTGCACTTTTAAGTCTCCACTACTCCCTCAGCCCACTCAGCCAGGAGGGCATCAGGCTCTGAGGGTGAGAGCAGGGTCCAGGGGCTGCCAGGATGGGTGGGGGAAGCTGTTGGGCAATGGAAATAGAGGGTGGGGAAGGGGCCAGGCTCCGGGGCCTGGAGGCCCAGGGTGCCCAAATCTCGAAGAGGATGAGGAGCAGAGGTGGTCCCTGGGGCCTAGGAAACAAAGCCTGGGCGGTGGGGAAATGTCTGGGACCAACTAGGGGCTGAGGGAAGACAGGAAGGCCACTGGGAGGTTACTGCTCAGGGCTAGGACTCTCCCTTCCTCTCTGCAGGCTCCCACTCTTACCCAGCCGGTCCTGAAGACAGAATGAGAGGGGCTTTTTTTCTCCAGGCCCTGCTTCTGTGGCTGCTGCTGGATGAGTGTGAAGCAGGGGCTGTGGGTGCTGACCACAGGGACCTTGGCTACCAGCTGTCCCATCTCACCCCTCTCTGGCCTGGTTCCCCTAGGGTACTCCAGGGCATCCTAATCTTGGCTTCAGGGGTTCAAAGTCTCTGTCACTGACTTTGGGCTCTCCAAACTCGGATGTGCTTATCTGCATAATGGGTATAAGTGTCCACCTCACAGTGCTCAGGGGAGAGTTAAATTGGGTAATGGGTTGTACAAAACCCTCGTACCAGATTTTTTTTTATCCACTACAGCCTGGCCGTTATATCAGCTCGATATAATCGTGAAACCTGGCCTCCTGAAGGGACTTTCCATTTCGTCACCCTTACTGACCTAGATAATTTTTGCAAATGGACTGGCAAATGGTCTGAGGTCCCATATATTCAGGGCCTTTGGGCCTTGAGCTCCCACCCGGATCTGTGTGCCCAGTGCTCCACGGCCCAAGTTCTTCTCGCCCGAGGGAACCCTGAACCCATCTGGCCTCCTGAGCCTACTGCCCCAGAACCTCCCTCCTCCTTTTCTGATTCCCCTGAAGATCTTGCTTCCCCTCCTTCTCCCCCTCCTTATCAGCTCCAGCCCTGGCCCTCCCCTCTCAACTGGATTTTCCCCTCCCTCTGAAGACCTTTCTTCCCTAGTCAGCTCACACACCCACTCCCGCCTGAATGTAGAGCCCCTAGACTCCCGTATTTGCCCTCTCCGGGAAGTGGCAGGAGCAGAAGGTGTCTTTCAGGTCCATGTCCCCTTCTCACTAACTGACCTCTCTTCAACTGAAAAATGCCTAGGCTTGTTCTCCACTAACCCTACCAATTTTATCAGGGAATTCCAGTACCTAGTGCAGGCTTATGACCTCACATGGCATGATCTGCACATCATTTTAACTTCCACCACGACCCCTGACAGATGCGACAGTGTCTGGACTGCAGCTAGGGCTCATGCCAGTAGGGACTGAAGATGTGCCAGAGGAAGAAGCAGACTGGGACTACCAGGTAGGACAGACGGGTTGGAGGCGCCGCGACCCAATGGTCGAGTGCCTGATAGCAGGTATGCACCAATCTGCCCAGAAAGCAGTCAACTACGATAAACTCCGAGGTCACCTAAGGCCCCAGATAAATCCGGCACTGTTTCTCAACAGAGTAACCAAGGCAATAGTGCTCCATACCCACCTTGACCCGGCTTTTAACGCTGGGGCCACTGTCTTAGCTACTCGTTTTATCTCCCAGTCGGCCCCAGATATTAGAAGGAAACTGAAAAAGGCCAAGGATGGCCCCCAAACCCCCATCCGAGATCTCGTAAATATGGCATTTAAAGCTTTCAATAACCAGGAAGCAGAGGCTGAGGCTGCCCACCAGGCTCGCCTACAGCAAAAGACAGCCCTGTGGCTGGCGACAAACACGGGCACAGGGGCAAAGCTTAAGTCCGGGCCAAAGAACACCCCACCAGGGGCCTGTTTGAAGTGTGGCAAAGAAGGGCACTGGGCCGGCCAGTGTCAACCTTGGCCACCAACGAAGCCTTGTCAGATTGCTGACATCTTGGCCACTGGAGGGATGCCTGTCCCCTTAGAGGCTCGTCCCCGGCGCCTCCACATGGGGGACCAGCCAATCAAGGTGCAGACTTTTCCCAGGCTGCACCAGAACTTCTCAGACTCCTAGGCGATTGAAGCGGCCTGGACTCGAAAACCCCCATCACTCTCGCCAACCCCAGGGTAATGCTGCAGGTAGTAAGTCCATTTCTTTCCTAGTGGATACAGGGACTACCTACTCTGTTTTACCATCTTTTTCAGGACCTCTTACTCCTTCCCAGATCTCAGTCATGGGGGTTGGTGGGACCCTGTCTCGCCCGAGACAACCACCCCCCCACCCCCCCACCCCCACCCCCGCTTAACTGCTGTCTGGACAGGTTTCCAGTTTCCCATTCATTCCTTGTCACACCCTCCTGCCCTATTCCACTTCTAGGACGGGATGTTCTCCAATTATTAGGTACCACTCTTCAGATCACACAAAACCTGACCCCTTCCTCCTCCCTTATCCTCCCACTGGTAGAAAACCTACTCACCCCTCCCTGAGGGACCAGAAATGGCAGACCTCTAGCCCCTCCCCTCTATGCTCCCATGACAGCAGGAAGTAGCCGGACTGAACAGTGGCACTCATCCTATCTTTGATAGGAGTTTGGAGTGTTAGGATGGGCGGGGTAGGACAAAATGGCAGCTGAACTACAACCTGGAAAAGACGGCTGACGTCAAACCAGATTGCTGAAAGGGTGGGCTTTATCCGCATAGCAACCCGAGCCCGAGGAGTACCACCAATGATATATTGCCGCTTTGTTCAAAGGGGACCAATCCCTAGCTTCCACAAAGAATGCCAAGTAAAATAAAACCCTGCCATATTCCCTGCTTGAGCATGCAAACCCCAATAAAGCTCTATACTGCCTTTGTGGCTGATTGGCATTTCTTCCTCATAGGAGCCTAAGAAAACCTTTCATGTTTCACCCCCTTCTCCTAATCTGTAATCTCTCCTCCACCTGTTAAATCCACAATCCAGTGCCTTCCCTGCTTCCTCCTCCAGGAGTTGCTGGGACACTGGAGTCTTCAGGTTAGTTAGACTCAGCGTTTCCCCACCCTCAAAATAGACCCCTCCCTGACCTTGGACCTTTGTCTCCCCACCCCTCCTCCCCCAGGCCCCTAGTCCTCTGCCACCCCTCGCCTTCCCCTTTGTCCTCTCACAGCCTGCAGGCAGCCTCACATGTCCAGACCCATCATGGGGGACCAGGATCCCCAGGGCCGGAGAGTGGCCGAGCATCCAGCACCACGAGGTGCATACGTGTGGGGGCTTGCTCATTGCCCCACGCTGCACCGTGGGTTCTGACTGCAGCGTACTGCTTCCCAAAGTTAGCAGCCACCCACCAGGCTCAAACAAGAATACTGGGATGA